TTTTTTTTTTTTCCCCTTCTAAATTTATCTATTTATTTTGAGAGAGAGCTTGCACGCAGGGTGGGTAGGGGTGGGAGGGGCAGAGAGAGAGGGAGAGCGAGAGAATCCCAAGCAGTCTCCACGCTGGCAGCCCAGAGCCCGACGTGGGGCTCTGGGGCTCGATCCCCAGAGACCATGAAATCATGAGCTGAACTGAAAACAGGCATGGGACGCTTAACTGACTGAACCACCCAGGTGCCCCTGAAATCCTTCCTTTTATATGCTCAACTTTTCAGTGTTTTCTCCTCTAGTATGTTTCTGCCCATCTACTGGCTTCAAGGACTATCACGCTTTGAATTCAGTACCTCTAAACCCATTTTTACATGTGACAAGATTTGGGTTGCAGTTTTGTTTCTCCAAGTATGAGGCTTCCGATTTTAGGTTGGCACAGATTTGTGGCTTTAACTCTCGCTGAATCACCGAATGAGAAACATTTTCTCTGAATTCCTCAGTGATAGTCTCAAGTCAGTGCTGATCTGTCTCAGGAAGTGATAAGGCCTGGAGCTTTAAGCCCCTAGCAGATCTCGTATCCAGGGAGAGCGAAATAACATCTGATTATTGTTTCGTTTGACTTTTGTGTTTTATTTGCCTTTTAATTTTTTTTTTTTTCAACGTTTATTTATTTTTGGGACAGAGAGAGACAGAGCATGAACGGGGGAGGGGCAGAGAGAGAGGGAGACACAGAATCGGAAACAGGCTCCAGGCTCTGAGCCATCAGCCCAGAGCCTGACGCGGGGCTCGAACTCCCGGACCGCGAGATCGTGACCTGGCTGAAGTCGGACGCTTAACCGACTGCGCCACCCAGGCGCCCCTTATTTGCCTTTTAATATTGACAAGCCAGCGCTGGCTTTCAAAGGAAGCCAGAGACTAAAGGTCTCCGTTTTAAGTAATGTTAGAATTTAGAGTCAGCCTAAGAAAAAACATTAAGCAGCTAAAATTTAGGTGGCACGGGGCACAGTGTCACACACATGCACACGCTAGGTCCTCAAAGCAGTCAACGAAACGAGGTTTAAATAATAATTCCCCACAACTACCGGGAGGAGAATTTGTAGAAGGCAGATATCACTCCGGCCTCAGGGGGGTTTTCTGTTTACCCAGTCCATGTATCAAAATACCTCCCAGCATCTATTTTAGTCAGCAAGTGTTCCACCGTGGTGGAAATGATTTACTGAGAACTTAGACCTTCTCCTGATATCTAGCCAAAAATCTGATTTGGAAAACCGAGTCCTGTTTAGTTTCTGCCATCACTGTTACTGAACCACAATGGCTGGGCAAGTAGCGGCAACATAAAGTTCTTCAGTTCTCTCTTCTTCTTTCATTTGAGCATCACGAGATTGTTTTGGTCCCCCTCTTGGTCACTCACTAAGCATCTGCTGAACTAAATACTTAGTTTGTAATAAATGGAGGAGGTCACCTTTGGCCACTTGCTTCACACATGCAGGAAAGACCAGATCTTCCATCGGGTCAGTGTTTCTTGGCAGGAGAGCAAGGAAGTTTCTGTAAATTGAGTTTGTACATCTGGCAGCCAAAAGTGTCCTGTAGGTATATTTTTTGCATAAAAAGATATGTTTGAGGTGACCGCTCTGCACAGATGCTATTAAAGGTTCAGAGTGTTTGTAACCTGTTATTTTAGATTTGGGGCATATTTGTAGCTCCAGAGGTACAAAAATAAACTGTGTTTTCTTGGAAGATGTGTGTGTCTGGGATGTGACTGGAGTTGCAACCTTAAGCAAGATTTCCAGGCGTTTACAGTTGAACCATGCCAGTAAAAATATGTTTATTTAGACATTAAAATCCTAGGGTACCCACGTAAATATCCTAAACAACATGTGTTACACGAGCTTTCGTTGTTAGTGTGCTTCAGCTTTAAATGTTTTTAGTTCTGGTTCCTGGAGTGTGAACGTATTACAGGGAAAGTTGAACTCAGTGAGTCTTCTGTGCCATTCAGCACATTTGGTGACGTGTCTCTTAGATCCAAGAGAATTGTTTCTGATGTGGGTAAAAGTCACATCACAGTTGTGAAGGCAAACCTCCCTGCTCTCAATACTCTTAGCAACATAGAGGTTTTTGTTGGGCGATCAGGAGAGAGAAAAGACAGCAGGTATGTGCCCTTCACTCACCGTTCATTCGTCTGCGTAACAAGCATTCCTCGACTATCCATCGTCTACAAAACTGTGCGGTAAAAATGGTGAGGACAAAGAGGAAAAGGCAGTCACCATGGGCTCATGAGCCTACCGTCTGCTTTATTTCATCAGTATTTCACAGAAGTCAGGATAAATTGCTTCTTTTGCCAAAATAGAATTTTCAGAAAGTTGAAAAGTAATAACTCTGTCAAATATTCAGTAAGCACGTATTTGAAGATTTGTCGAACCCAGTCATGAGAGAAATGGTGGGATAACAAAACTGGTTCAAAGGGGGATTTGAGCAAAATGTCTAGGTAGGCAGGTTGATTGATAGATAGAGTGAAAAGAAAAGAGAATGCCGGAGTAAGACTTCAAAGTTAGGTACAATACTGGTTAATGTCCTCCAAGGCGATAAAACAGTACTCTCTGGTTCTATTTCAGCCAGACAGAAATCTTTACACCTATCCTTAACAAATATATTTGTAATTTATCTGTCTTCTACAGTCGTTACAGAGTCTGTGACCAATCGATAATAAATAGTAAGTCAAACAAAGTTACATTTCCCAAGAGTGTTAGATGACTCTTAGGTAAGTTTGTCAAAACGTCCATGTTGGAGGACAGTGCTGCCCGAGAGAACTTTCTGCCAGGATGAAAATCTTCCATATAAGTGCTGTCCACTAGCTATCTGTAGCTATTGAGCGTTTGAAATGTGGCTCCTGCAACTGAGGAATCGAATTTTCAATTTTATTTCATTTTTATTAGTTTTGATTTAAATAGCTCCCTGTGATTAGTGGCTACCATGTTGGACAGCACAGCTCTCCTGTGCCATTAAATGGGCGGTCATTTTTACGCCTTGTTTCCGGTCTAAACACATATTTGTCTAAACACTGTGTAAATTACATCATATTTGAAATATCATAATGAGCTAAATATGTGGGGAAAAAAATTGGAAGAGACTTTTTTTTTTGAAAAGACCAAATTCTTCCGTGAATCTTATTTCTTTTGCAAATGTGATGCCTCGTATATTGTGTTTCTTGATGGTAGGCTCACCTGAAATCATTCTGGCCAGCAAGGGGGCCGCTTATGAATTAAGCCTGTTTGGAGGGAACCCAGGTCTTGCGTTTTGTTTTTCAAGTGACTCAAGTTGGTACTAATTTCCCTTTAGCAAGACGCTAACCGTCATGTCTAGTTTTGATTAAAAAGGGGCTTTCTGATTTGAAACAAAGGGAGAGCTATTAATATGTCACAAGGATTTGAAGGCTTAAATAAGTTAACTTTTCTGCTGCCCTCCCTTCGTTACTCAGACCAAGCAATCAATGCATTGATAAGGCTGGCTTTGATCTCTCACGAAACTTACCAGTTCTTTTTCTTACTCCTCTTCTCCCTCGCTTGCAGGGGTTTTTCCGCAGAAGTATTCAGAAGAACATGATTTACACTTGTCACCGAGATAAGAACTGTGTTATTAATAAAGTCACCAGGAATCGATGCCAGTACTGCCGACTCCAGAAGTGCTTTGAAGTGGGAATGTCCAAAGAATGTAAGTGGAGTCTCAAAAACTTTTCTTTTTCCTTCTTTGGCTTACCTATATATAGGACTTGCTCAGCTTCCAGAATCAAGTTGTGGAGGGCATGGCATGCGGAATTCCCATATGACACCAAGGTTAGATTGCCAAGGCTAGGTGTAAACAGAGGTGAGCTGAAAACAGAATAACCGTGGGGATTTTCAGATCAAGCCTGAGTGGCAGCTGGGGACAGGGCTGGAGCTGTGTGCTGCAGATGGCAGATGTGTGTTTCAGAGCGGTCCCAACTCACTGTGTGTTGTCGTAGAGCCACCAATGTCTAGCACATCGCATCGCCACTTAGAGACGCCATTTCCCCGTCCTGACCGTGGGAACAGAGTTGTGCCCGTGTCCCTGAGAACAAAAGGAGACAAGAGGCATGAATATTAACAGTAGTAATAATTAGCCCTTTCTCAGAGGGAAGGGAGTGTAAACCTTTTGTTGTGGAAGAAATATTTAGAAACTTGGTGCGTTGGCATGTTTCCAAATTCGATTTAGCTTTTTTTTTT